CCCCAAAACCCCAAAACCCCAAAACCCCAAAACCCCACAAAACTCAATAAAATTGGAAAGCAAGAGTTAAATTATAAGCTACGATTATGGAGTTTCCTGGGCTGACCTATCCCAATGCTATACCTCTTTGCAATATCTTGAATGGTAGAAAGCATGCTCTTCCTCTCATAACTCTCAGCTTCGGTTGATTCTATACCTTATAATGTATGCCTACTCTCAATCCCATTAGTATTTCTCGAAATCTTGGGCTTAGGCCTTCCAATACTTGTTTGTATAGCTCTTGGAATAGAAACACCTGAAAATTTTTGACAAATCCTGGACAAATTTCTACCACTTTGCTATAAGATCATCTTAAAAATTCACCTTAAGCTTTATCTTGGCTGAATTCCTTGACATCTTTCATCTTGGCACCCTTCATTTCCGGGGGAAATCCCTCTGGGATTTTCCCAGAAATGATTTATTATGCACATGAAAAATTTTGAAACCGGAATTCCTAATAAAAGTCAAAAGAGCTCAATTGAAAAATCTTACCTATTTTTCCTCATTATCCTCCTCTGATGATTCAATCGGGCACTTGTGGAGTCACAAAGGCTTATTTTGTTAATATCAAATCCTAAAATGCTGTTAATCTTGGATTCTTGGGTCTCCTCCTGGTCTAGAAGTATTAAGGTTTAGATCGTAAAAAATATCTGCAGAATCTGGAAAGTACCTTCTCTTTGGGCTATCTTTGGAGTCCTAAAAATTAGCTCGTGAAGTACCGTTCTGATGTTTCAAAATTGGCATTAGGGCTTTTTATACTTCCATTTTATAACTCTGAAACTGGAAATTTTCCTTCTTGGAAAGATTCCCGATTTTTGGAGAGCAGTTTAGCTGGAGTTGGTAGGGAGATGAAGCAATAGTAGATTGCCTCTCAAACAGCTCCTTGCCACTGTTCTTCTAAATTTTTAAGAAATTAACATTACTACTACTTCATCAAAGAATCGGTCATCAACAGATGACTTAACTGCGTTGAGTTTTACTGAAAATTTTATTTTCGAGTTATCTGGACGAGTACCGTTATTTTGGAAAAGAAACTCTATCAATATGTTCTAAAATAATCAATCTCCAATTTTACTCTTTAGTTGACTCTTTTTCTTCTTTCCAGGCTTGCGGGGCTTCTCCTGTTTAGGTTTCTTCATTCTTAGAATTTTATCCCCATTATCTGAATAAATTACTCCTAAGAATACCTGTGTTAATTATTTCATACAAGTCTTCGTTGATCATTGAGCAATGTTCTGTGAAGTTCGAGCAGTCTTTCTGAAGTATGAAGTTATTTAAGCAGATTCCAGCTCTTTCCTTTGGGCTTATGTCTATACAGTTAATCGTTATTGGTCGAGAAAGAAGGCTTACTCATCTGCTGGAAACATATCCAAATTAGTGATCATATACTTGTTGTTATACATTGAGATCATCATATCAAGCTTCTGCTTAGTCTCTGAAGAGGGCATACAATTGAGCTATATCAGTAATGAGTGTGACTTACCTTCCTGACATCCATTGGCCTAAAGTCTTCAACAATGCTGCTATGACACTAAATTTTGTGAAAAATCCATACATCTTTCTTATGATATCTATTCTGGCTAGTGGTACTTAGTTCTTCAAGAGCACTTGGCAAGCTAGAGAAAATGTATTTAGGCTTTAACAAGGATTTTCGCTTGCTAAAATTAAAAGATCTTCCTCTTCTCTTGATCTTCAAGGGGATTCTGAGTGAATTATTTGAATTCTGTATGAAATCAATCTTTTTATCCCTTATAGGAAGGAAAGAAATTCTTCCTGGTTGTTTTTCATCTCTCATTTTCAATTATAATTCCCAAATTGGGGTTTTGGGGTTTTGGGGTTTTGGGGTTTTGGGG